GTGTGAGGAAGCTTGGAGTACTGTGGCTGAGCACTGGGACCTTGGCAGGTGGCCACTCTGAGGTGACTTGTAGGTTGAGTTGTTGAACAGTTGTCAGCTCTCCAAGGTGCTGGGTTTTGAGGATAGACGGGGAGAGTAGAATGGCGTGTGCAGAGAGAATAGGGAGTGGATAGTCCTGGGGAGGTTCTGGAGGACCTAAAAGAAGATCGGGGGACTAGAGTGAGTCCTGGATAGTGAAATTCAAGAGAAAGATGCTTTTGTCAGCTCAGGCTTCTGGAACAGGATGCCATGAACTGGGTGGCTTCAACACAGACATTTCTTGTAGTTTTCCAGACTGAGGTCCAAGGTCAAGATGCTAACAGTGCATGTCCATTCTGAGGCCTCCCTCAGCGGCCATCTCCTTATGTGTTTGAATGAGCTAATGAGATCACTAAGGCCACCATGAGGGCCTCAGCCTCCCAACCACATCTAATTTTAACCACCCCCCAGTATAGGCACCTTCGTCTGAGCTTCATCGTGCAAAGTGGGGGGATACAGTTCAGTCAGCAGCAGCAGGGTCAACTCTAAGACATTTGTGTTGGAAGTGCCAAGGAAAACCACTGGAAAGCTCAAAATAAGGTGTAGTACTCCCTGCGACCAAGTTCCCCTGTGATGTGCACATATTCCCAGCAGCCAGGCTGCTTCTGCTTCCTCATTGGAGGTCCCTTGTACCAGGCCACGCACTAGTGTGGAGCCAACTCAGCAGTGCCTGGCTGATGACGTCTTGGTGCACGGCCAGGTGGCACCAAGCTGCTGCCTTCAGGGAGCACGGGGGCCAGTGCTGCAGGAGTGCTGGGACCCAGGCTGGTCTTTGCCGTGGAGACTGTGCAGTGGAAAAGTCCCCGATGCCAAATTTGATTACCTGCTTTTCTTTTCCATGACACTTGGACAGGTGCATGTTGAAGACTCAGATGATCTTTGCTTACTTTTAGGCCACTTTGTGAACAGGTTTGGATGAAGCCTTGAGTTTTGGGTCCAAGTAGCTAGGTTTTTCTCCTAGTGAGCTTTGGCATTAGAGCCAGGCAAGCAATCAATGGCAGAGGTAGGGACTTGCAGTGAAAAGAGATGAGGCTTTGAGCTTCCAGCAGATGGTCTGGAGGACTCACTCACTGTCATCCAGCACAAGACACTCCAAGTAAAAGCCTTCCCTAAGACTAGCTGCTTCTAGCACCCATATGCATGCCTGCATACACCCACAGCCAAGCCCAGAGCTGACCCTCGGCCCCTCTCCTGCCTCCTGCTATACACTCTGGAGCTGCCACTGCTTTGAAGTAAGGCCCCAAGCACCTGGCTTTCCAAGATTATCTCCCATTCACGCTACAGCATGATGTAGTCACCGAGAAAGCACAGTCTGGAACTGGACCAAGTTCAAAACAATTCTGCCACATATAGAAGCTTAGCCTACAATGTTACATTGAAAATATCCTAACTGAAGATACTCACTGAGTGCACCCCATCTGCTGACCACCTTGGCAGCACATTGCCTTGCAGTGTTGGTGTGACCCCTCGAGATTGTGGGGCTGGCTGGAGCTGTGCACACACAGCATAGTGAGAGGATACCACTGCATATCCCTAGCCTTGGAAAAGATGAAAGTTCAAAACAGTACCACCCTCAAGTGAAAAGGGGAGCCATCCAAAGATGGAGGTAATGTGCACAAGCCTTGTGTGGCCTTGTAAGGTCAACTGAAACTCTCAGAGCCTCTGCCTCACAGGGGGACACAGTGGTGTGTGCCTGAAGTCCCACCTACTCAGGTGGCTGAGGCAAGAGGATCGAAAGTTCCAGGCCAGCATCAGCAATTTAGTGAGGCCCTGTCTCAAAGTAAAAAAAAAAAAAGGGCTGGCTATAAAGTGTCCCTGCATTCAAAACAAAAAAAAAAGGGGCTGGGGTTGTGGCTCAGAGGTAAAGCACTTGCCTAGCATGTGTGAGGCACTGGGTTCGATCCTCAGGATCACATAAAAAATAAATAAAAGATATTGTATCAACCTATAACTAAAAAAAATTTTAAAAAAATCCCTGATGTCAGGTTTCAGTTTTCATACAAATAATTAGGAAGTTGTCACAATATTGAATCATTAATTTCCTCACTGATTTGAAATGCCACTTTAGTACTAAGTCCATGCAAGAAGTAGCTGATGGCAACATTTGAAAGAGATGCCCACTCCCCCACTGTGTTAACCTTCTGCCTCCGTGTCAGACACCGAGACAATTCACGAGGAGGAGAGGTTTGTTCAGGCTCGTGGTTTCAGCAGTTTCTGTCCACACTGCTGGCCTCCTGGTGGCCAGGAAGCAAAGAGAGGAGGGACTGAGGTCCCAAAGGTTCCTTCAGGGGCATGTCCCTAGTAGCCTAACCTCTGCTCACCAGGCCTCCTTGCAAAGGCTCCACCACCTGCCAGTAGCACCACAGGCTGGGGACCAGGCCTTCAGGGGATGCTTATGGTCCAAACCATAACACCCACCCAGGCAGCTGCTGTCCTTCCAGAAGACAGCAGACATGTTCTGGAGAGACCAATAATAAAAGTTGTCTGTCTGAAGACCAGGCCCCACTGTAAAAGGAAGCAATGCAAGAACATGTCCCAGCACTGAAGGTGCACATCTATTGAAAGGTCTGCTAGGGACCCAGAATGAAGACTAGAAAGCCACTCCACCTGACGCTTCAGGACTTACACAGAGAGATGTTAAAAACTTTTCAAGAAAGCAAATAGTTGTTCAGGAAACGGAATGAATCTGACTTGAAAGCAACTTTAGAAACTAGAAGACCATGGAGTAATGCTTTTCAAGATGATCCTAAGGGGAAATTATTTCCAACCTAGGATTCTATATCCAGCTTAACTATGAGAGAACCAAGAGAGTAGAAAAATATTTTTAAACATTCAGGGTCTAAAATATTAATTTTCTCCACATCTGTAAAGATGGGCCTAACTAAAATGGAAAACCAGTGGAAAGAGATGTTGTCTAAAGCGGGGAGTCTAACAGAAAAAGGAGAGAATTGTCCAGGTAACAGGAAAGAGAGATTCCAGGTTGAACCATGCAGCAGACCTAAAGCAGGTCAGAGTTTGATAACTGAGAAAAAACATGATCAAAGTTGAAGGTGACATTAAAATTACTTTCTGCCCCACATTGAATGCTTCCACTCTCTGGTGGGAGGATGAAGGGAAGCAGGAGGGGGAAGAGTCCTGCTTTCCATCATGGCCCAGCTGAACTCAGAAGGAGGCAGGTGTCTGGGGGAGATCCTGGCAGTGCTGCTGAGCCAACAGAGGGGCTGCTCCAAAGTAACTGGAAAATGCAAAATTTTAGTTTATCACTCTGGTTGAAGACCAAGCCATCACAGGAAAACAAAAGCAAACAAAAACCCCTCCAGTAAGGTACAGCTATAGCATTGATGTGAGATAATGTCTTAAAAATACTGAGTTGTATGGGCTGGGGTTGTGGCTCAGTGGCAGAGTGCTTGCCTCGCACTTGTGAGGCACTGGGTTCGATCCTCAGCACCACATAAAAATAAATAAACAAAATAAAAATATTTTTAAAATACTAAATTGTAGGGCTGGGATATAGCTCAGTTGGTATAATGCTTGCCTCACATGCACAAGGCCCTGGATTCAATCCCCAGCACCACACACACACACAACAAAACCTGAATTGTAGCTGGGTGTGCATGCCTATAATTTATGCAGCTTGAGAGGCTGAGGCAGGAGGATCTTAAGTTCAAAGCCAGTCTCAGCAATTTAGCTGGGCCCCAAGTAACTCAGTGAGACCCTGTCTCTAAATAAAATACCAAAAGGACTGGGGATATGGCTGAGTTGCTAAATGGTTAGTGCCCCTGGATTCACTTCCCAGTACCCCCACCTCACCTCACCAAAAAAATACTGAATTGTAGCTAGGCGTGGTGGCACATGCCTATTATCCCAGCAGCTCAGGAGCTGAGGCAGGAAGACAAATTCAAAACCAACCTGGGCAACTTGGCAAGATTCTATCTCAAAAATTAAAAGGGCTGGGATATAACTCAGTGGTAAAGTGGCCCTGGGTTTGATCCCCAGTACCGAAAAACAAAACTGAATTGTTATGTGAATGAAAGCAAGATGCTGAGCTGCTTGCACAGTATAATCCAATTTTAGGGAAAATACATGTGGAACTCTTGCCAAGGGCCACCTCCTCTTGGGAGTGGGGTTTCTGGACACGTGGATCTCTTACCAAGGGCCACCTCTTGGGAGTGGGTTTCTGGAGGCTTTGTCAGAGATGCCGGCTTGGAATCCCACACCTGCATGGATATACCCTTCTAGGAAGCCTCCTCAGTAAGCAGCCTCTTTGCAGGACAATCACACTGTTGAAGGGCTTGCTCCTGGCATGGCCTTCTTTTTACTTTGCAGGTCCACCTCTCCTTCATTCTCCAAGGACCAGCTCAAATGTCAGGGCCCCATGAGAATTTCCCACTCAGACTTACACTTCCCCCCCGCCTCCTCAGCATCCCCCTGCACACAGCTAAGCATCTCACTTTCTTTTCCAGTCTTTAGGGCCCTCTCCACCCTCAGTTATCACAAAGCATAGCATTCAATTCTTTTAAATGTGGGTGTCCTCACTGTCTGCATATTATTTTATTATTTATTTCTTTCTGGTACTGGATATTGAAGCCAGGAGCACTGTACCATGAGCTACATCCCAAGCCCTATTTAAGACAAGATCTTACTAAGTTGTGCAGGCTGGCTTTGAACTTGCCATCCTCCTATCTCAGTTCCCCAAGTTGCTGGGATTACTGGTGTGTGCCACCACATCTACCTTGCATTTTACTTTAAAAGTAGAACCTTATAATTTAGTTCCTACGTCTTGTAGCCTATGTTACACTTTCTTCATTCAGGAATGTGCAGATAGCATAAAACTTACTTTTTAGAGTAAATTCACATTTTGTACATCTGAAACTTCCCACAAGGGAATCCTAAAATGTTTAGATCCAATTTATTCACAACTCTTGACAGCAGAATGTTTATTTAAATTAGCTAACAGCTTTCGGTCCTCCCACATAAATAACAGAAAATAAAAACAACAAAGAATAGTTAAAAGAACATATTAAATCCCAATTAAAGAAAAATACATATAACATTGGATTATCAACTTTATCCAGTGTAGGCACATTTTTAAGCTTTATTTTATAAAACACTTAAGATTTTCTAATATCACAGCATATCAAAAGCAAAATGCATATACGGATTTTATACTACATGTAAAGTTCCAGATTTCCAATCCTCAGTAAGATGCCAAGTTGAAGATACATATACTGATAATTAAACTATAGTGTTTTGTATAAAAATAAGTAAGTTTTTAACACATGAAAAGAGGCTTTAATCAAAAGATTAAAATTCCAAGGGTGTCTTTTTCCCAACAATTAATTCAATCAATCTGTGATCCCAGGTTCAGTGACAGGTATGCTCAAAGTACACAAGAGATGGTAGTCCACAGTGGTGCAGCTTTCTGGACAATCTCTAAATTCATTCAATTTTTAGAACTTATTTTGAAATCTAATGAAACCAAAGAACAGGGGCACTCTGGCTGCACTCTGAGGAATACAACCTGAATTGTTCTGTTTGGGCACAAAGGTGCATTACCACCCTAGTGGCTTTAGTCCACCTCCCATGCCAGTTGATTCACAGAAGCATACTTCCTCCAGCTACAATGCAGATTGAGGAGCACACAGACTTTTGCAAAAGAAAATTCTGAAATTCCAGCTTTAAAAAGCAGATGAAGAAACAACCATTTATGTATGAGAATACACATTCACAATTCATACCATAAGATAAATTTCCATTTCAAAAGTATTTTATAGACCCAGTGTCACATATTTATATAGTATGTTTTATACTATATGTCAGAAACTAAATGACACATAATAATCACAAAATTTTATAAAATTCAAGTTTCCAGTGATGTTTAAAAAAGAAATTATAACTGCCTGTTCAGCTGATATATCCAGTTATGGTTATCTAGAAAATCCCAAGTTATGTGGAAAAAAAAAAAAAAAACTAATGAGAGACAATCTGTAACTCTGCTACTTTCCGGCCTTTTAAATATGGATAGCTAAAAAGAAAACTGTGCTGTTTTGGCTTTTGAGCTATTAGGTCAAGGAGTGTTATAGCTCTGAGCCACTCTTCAGATCATGTTTAGGTTTCACACAATCTTCAGCTTCAACACCACCATTTATCCAGATGAATGACCTGTGGAAATCTTGGGCATGAGAAACAAGACTTAGGGACAAAAATCACAATTAGAAGCTAGGGGGAAAAAAAATGAGTCTCAGCAAACACAATTTCTCTAAAACAGGAGAAGTATTATATATATATATATATATATATATATATATATATATATATGATCAACACACCACAGAAGCATTTCTTTAGTTTTTTGTTTTACTAAACAATCTGAAGTAAGCATTATAATCTGAGATCCTTTAGCTGGGTGTGGTGGTGCACACCTGTAAATCCCAGTGTCTTGGGAGGCTAAGACAGAGTGGCAAGTTCAAGGCAAGCCTCAGCAACTTTGTGAGTCACTATCCCAAAATAAAAGGGGCTGGGGATGTAGTGGTTAGGTGCCTCTGCGTTAAAAGGCAGGGAGGGGGTGAATCTGAGGGCCTTTAAAAAACAAAGGCCATAAAAATAAAAAATAAAACAAGAAAATGCAGTGCGTATCATTCTGAAGTTACACAGGGTCCCTTTTCCCTGTGCTTTGGGCATATCCAATCTCAACTTTGTTCTCTACTTTGTTACAAAAAACAGAATTAAAAAAAAAAAAAATCTGTGCCAGGCATGCTGGTGCACACCTGTAATCCTATCGGCTCAGGAGGCTGAGAAAGGAAGAATTCAAAGCCAGCCTCAGCAAAAGCGAGGTGCTAAGCAACTCAGAGATCCTGAGACCCTGTCTCTAAACAAAATACAAAACAGGGCTGGGGATGTGACTCAGGGGTTGAGTGCCCGAGTTCAATCCCTGGTACCAAAAGGAAAAAAAAAAAAAAATCTGTATTGTCAGATTTTTTCCTTTTGGTATGGTATGGGGGACTGAACCCACAGATGCTTTACCACAGACCCCATCCCCAGCCGTTTGTATTTTTTAAGATAAGTCTCACTAAATTACCCAGGCTCACCTTGAACTCGGAATCCTCCTGCCTCAGACGCCCAAATCACTGGAATTACAAGTGTGCACCACCTTACCTTGCTAAATAAATATCCTGGTGGAAACTTTTCCATTTGCCTGAACACGGAGCCACTCTAAGCTACACTGAAGGAGCGAGAAGTCTCAAGTCACTGACTGCTGCCAGGTTCCTCAGTGTGTATTTTGTTGTTAGTACTTTATTTAATATGACAAAGACAAAAAAGCTTCAGCTGGAATTTCACACAATCCAAAATGTGTTGAAAAAATTTTTTTATCATGGTCTTTTAGATTTCCAAGTAAATGCTCCCCAACCAAATATTATAAAGCTGCTAATCAGCAACTCAAATTAATCAGCTCAAATTACAAACTTGGGAATGTACAAATGTTTTTTATAAAGCTGCTTCTGGTACCCTGTAAGGATGGAAGTGTCTGACATCCACACATGAGCTAGTTCCAAGAAAGAAGTCTTGTGACTAAAATTTTCTCTAAAACTAATTTCCCAACTCCTTTCTTTCCCCCAAATTGTTCATTACAGTTTAAAAGGGAGAAGTACATGAGGCAGGGTGTTTTATATGGCACTGTACCCTTTAAGAAACCTAACATTCTAGTGAACTGGGACACTTCCAACATCCTTGAACTCTGTCTTTACAGACCTCATTTCTCCATGCTGCATAATGTACAGAGTGTTTTGATTCAAAAGACAAGCTGAAGTACTACAGCAACATACATTCATTAAGGAATTACCATAATTTAAAAGGAAAGCATGGTATACATTTTAATAATTCTAGTATTTTTCTCATTTGTGCTTCAATGAGCATATTTTCTTTCTTCTTTTGATTTAGTCTAAGAGGTACCTTTCATTTTCACACTGAGACCATAAGGAATACGTTAATGTAACTTAACATAAATATAAATGACACACAAGCCACATTGAAGCATCACGAAACAGAATCCTCAGACCACGGAAGTCGTGCTCTCAGGATTCACCCGGATGAGTCTGGATGTGCTCCTCAGGTCTTGGAGCTGCTTGGCAGGTTTCCCCACACCTTCTTCAAACCTCTTCTCCACCACGGGGAGGACTGTTTCGTACAGAAAGGACGCATTCTGTCTGATAAATGCCTTCTTCTCTGGATCTTGCTCACAACGCAGACTATAATCCACATGCTGCACGGCGACCAGGATGACTTCCACCAGGCTCTCCAGGAGAACCATGTGCAGTTCTGGGAAGTACAGCTTTAGCGCCTCCTCTAGGAAGCCCATGGTCTGCTTGGTGAAGGCCACCACCGTGTAGCTCAAGTTCACCCAGCAGTCGTCGCCAGTGTACTGCTCGAAGTTACTGACCCCACAGTTTCTCATCTCCTCCTTGAGCTTCCCCAGAGCCTCGGGGGTCATCAGGTTCATCCTCCTCCACATCTCCTCAGAGTTGCGGTGCTTGGTGGCTTCGATAATGATCTCCTTGTAGCTGTGTAAGGCCCCCTGGATGTCTCTCACCAGCAGGGCATGGATGATGAAGGTGAGGTCCAGCCCGATGTCCCCGAGCTGCTGGCAGTGCTCCTTGGCCACCTTCACACACTCTGCAGCTGTCGAGAGGCTCTCCTTGCTGTCAAACACCTGCTTGCTGAAAGCATCCACGAACATGCCCATGGCTGATCTTGCCCAGACCACAAAGGCAGAGTAGCAGCCACTGTCAGTGCCTGCAAAGTCTGTCTCAAACTCCTTCGCTGTCTCAAGAAGGCTGGTAAAGAAGACATGGCACAGCTTGTGAATGTAGAGCAGAGTGGCTCCTTCGATTCGAAGCTGGCGTATGGCAGTGTGCACCGCTGCTGCCCTGTTCCTCAGAAACAGCTCACAGGCTTTGGTGCACTGGCCAAGCCGGATCAGCTGAGAAACTGCCCTTCGAGTGGCCTTGGGACCACCTCTCAATGAGCGATCTGGGGAAAGCTCAAATACCAGCACCTCGGTTAACTGTCGCACCCGCTCCTCCACCTTGGCCCTGAGTTCTTTCACAGGAGGTGGGCTGGGCTTATCTTCCAGATAGTGGTTCAATTTGTCCAGCAGGTCCACTGCGCCCTCAAAGTCCCTCTGGGCAATACAAACATCCAGGTCTTCGGGCAACTCCTGGATCCACTCCATTGAGAGGTCCACCTTCTCCTCCTCCACCTCAGGAAGCGCTGGTTCTTCATCGTCGTCCTCCTCGAACGGGTTGCCAGCCTTGGGAGTTGCCTGTGGTGGCCCTCGCGGGGCAGCAGCCGCCTCCTGTTCCCGCCGTCTCTTCTCACCTAGGGCCCTTTTGGTCTCCTCCAGCACTTCCAGCCACTCGCGCTTGATCTTGGCGTTTTCCGCCTGAAATATGCGGCTCTCGGGGAACATAAGGAGCTTGAACATATCCTTCATGGGCGGGTTGTCCTTGACGTTGACCACCGCCAGGCCGTCCAGCGGGTACAGCGCGTTGTAGCGGTACATGCCGCGCCGCTGCGGCAGCCAGGTGGCCACCAGCAGACAGTCGTTCATAAGAAAGCCGTGCACGCGCTGCAGCTGCGCCATGTGGTCCGCCTCGTACTCCACCAGGTCCCCGTTGTACACTAGGTACTGCCCCGCCTCCAGCAGGTGCCTGCAGCCCTCCACCTTCTCCAGCAACGTGGTGAGCGTGCGCTGCTTGCCCTCCTCGCCAGCGCCCTCGCGCGAGGCGCCCGCGGGCCCCGGCAGGAAGCTGGTCGGGCCGCGCCGGCGGTCCCGGGCCCCCGCGCCCGCCGTGTCCTCGGCGGTGCCCGCGGCGGCGGTGCCCGCGGCGGCGGCGGGCAGCAGCGCGAGCGGGATGCTCTCCAGGCTGCTCTTCTGCTCCGTCAGCAGGTGGCTGAGCTGGTACATCTCGCTCTCCAGGTAGGAGATCTCGCGCGCCGTCTCGATGAACTGCCGGTAGTTCTGGTAGACGTTGCGCTTCAGGTTCTGCGCCGTCTCCTCCGCCAGCGCCTGGACGCGCTGCCGGTGCTCCTGCAGGTCGCGGTCGCCGTCCGACTGCTGCGACAACTGCTTCACATATAGCCGCGCCTCGAAGCCCCCCGACTCCAGCTGTCGCCGCAGGCGGCTGGCCCCGCTGTCCGACATGGTCGCTGCTCTCCCGCGTCGGCCACCCGCAACCTCCACCACTGGCCGCCGCCGGACCCCACCCGACCCGAGCCAAGCCTTGCAGCCAAGAGAGCGGACGGGGGCGAGCCGAGGGCGCCTGCGCCGAGCCCAGCGCCCCGCATTGCGCCTGCGCGGGAGCCAAGCGATGCACACTGCGCCTGTGCTGACCGAGCGCAGACGAGCCATTGCGGAAGCGAGACGCGGCCGGGAGCAGTTGGGGGGGTTGGGCGTGGCGGGTGGCGTGTGGTCCCGGTGCGCCGTAAGGGCGATACCGCGCCTCCCAAAGTCTTCCTGTGTCCTAGCCCGGGGATCCCGTGCATGCGTGCGTGCGGCGGTGCGCGGCTTTCGATCGCCAAGCCCCAGGTCTTGGCCCGGCGTCCTTGTGGGCCTGCGCTCGCGCCGCGGCCCGCCTTGAGTTCTCGCGAGACCGGCGCGCGCGCGTCCGATCCGGCTTCGTCGAGCGGACGGCGTCCTGGCGGCAAGCAGTGCGATGGAAGAGGACCTGGTGGTGGCGCTGCGGCTGCAGGAAGAGTGGGACGCGCGAGTCGCGCAGCGCGCAGCGGCCCGGGAGCCGCCGTCGTTGGTGGACGCGTCCTGGGAGCTGGCGGACCCCACCCCGGACCTGCAGGCCCTGTTCGTGCAGTTCAACGACCGCTTCTTCTGGGGCCGGCTGGAGGCTGTGGAGGTCAAGTGGAGCGTGCGCATGACGCTGTGAGTGTCCGCGCCGTCGCGAACGGCCCTCAGGGCTGTCGTTGACTCCCCGCCGCGCGGGGGAGGCCTGGGGCCGGCCGCCCTGATACCCGGGATGGCGGACTCAGGGGCCTTGGGGAGGACGCCCCTACCCCAGCGACCTCCCCTACACACGCGGGTCCCAGGGACCCTCGGGATAGATGCCCCGACCCCAGCGCCCCCCAATATATGCGATCCTAAGGGCCTTCGGAATGGACGCCCCGACCTCAGCGCCCCCCTCACGCGGGTCCCAGGGGCATTCCGGATGGACGCCCCGACCCCAGCCCCCCACACACGCGGGTCCCAGGGGCCTTTGGGATGAACGCCCTGACCCCAGCGCCCCTCTACCTCCACAGGGGCCTTCAGGATGGATGCCCCGACCCCAGCGCCACCCCCCACACGCAGGTCCTAGGGGCCTTCAGAATGGACGCCCCGACCCCAGCGCCCTCCCCCCACCCCGCCACGGATCCCAGGGGCCTTCGGCTTGGACCCCCTGACCCCAGTCCACCCGGCCCCAACCCACTCCACCCAACCCACTCTGTACCACCGCCTTCCCCACAATTTGAGCATTGCTGTGGGTTAAGGTGAGGGCAGCCACTACTGCCCACTGACTGACTGTCAAGATTTAGCTCCTAAGAGCGTGCATAATCAAGAAAGCCCTCTGCAGTAGGTTCTCTTAGTGTGAACTGCCCATGGTGGTAAGGTTTGCCCTTCCAGCTCTTCCCCTTTCTTTTGTGTGTTTGGTAAATGTAACTGTGTTGTGGTGATTGCTTTCCAGGTGTGCTGGGATTTGCAGCTATGAAGGGAGGGGTGGAATGTGCTCCATCCGTCTCAGTGAACCCCTTTTAAAGCTGAGACCAAGAAAGGATCTTGTAGAGGTATTCTTTACATAAGCTGATTCTTAATTTCTTAATTTACAGTATTTATCATAGGTTTAGTCTGCTGTGAAAAAATTACTCTTTGCTCAGTGCAAACTCATAAATTTTGGAGCAAATAATTTGAAATATTTTTATAGTGCTTCATAGTTAAGTAAGGTTGTCAGATGTCTTATCCCACTTGATCTTTACAACAGCCCAGTTTATGTTCAATGTGCGTTATCTTTGTTTTTACATAAAAGAAAATTAGGGGTTAGAGAGATTAAATTATATATTTAGAAGCAGAGAATAACAAGATTCAGTTCTTCTTGTTGGTTCTCCTGTTTGACCACCATGCTACTACCCTCTAGTAATACCTGGCTGAGCTGGCCACACTACTGGCCTGGGGGCACATTCATATGTGGAGTAGTGGTTATTCCTTGTGACACAGTGGACCAGAAACAACTCTCAAGTTTACTTTAGGTTGGGTTTAGTAAATGCCTGAAATTTCCCAGGATGCACCTAGTATGATTTCTCCTCCCCCAGTTGCCGCTTAAAAAATCTGTACAAACAGCACAGGGATGCTAGAGGTTGTCTGCATGGGATGGGAAATAGATTAAAACATCCTTGGACTTGTGGGGGATGGATTTTTGTGTGTGTGTGGTACAGAGGCTTGAACTCGGGCACTCCACCACATCCCCAGCCCTGTTTTGTACTTTAATTTAGAGACAGGGTCTCCCTGAGTCGCTAGTGCCTCACGGTTGCTGAGGCTGGCTTTGAACTGGAGATTCTCCTGCCTCAGCCTCCCAAGCTGCTGGGATTCAGGTGTCTGCTGCTGCACCTGGCTGCCATGGGATTTTTAAGGACAATAAAAAGATAACAGGTTTCACAAAATGACTGTTCTTATACACATAATAGTGGTTAAATGGCAAATTTTACATTTTTATACCACAGTTTAAATACATGTAAATAGCTACTAAATATAAAATGATATGATAAAAATATTTGGTTAATGAAAAAGAAAAGGAATGAAGAAGCCAGCTCACGTGACATGAGAAATGGCCATGAGTGCCGCATCAGTTACACTGCATGTCAGTGGCTTTAGTGCTCCTGTTGAGACACTGTGATGTACTAGATTAGAAACAATATGCTTTCAGAAAGGGCGTGCACATGTTAAATTTTAGAGGAAAGGAGAAGCTTCATGTCATTCCAACAGTTAACAATATAAAGCTACCATTGGCTAGCTGGGTATGGTGGTGCATACCTCTAATCCCAGCAGCTCAGGAGGCTGAGGCAAGAGGATCTCAAGTTTGAGGCCAGCCTCAGTAAGTTAGTGAGACCGTTTTAAAATAAAAAATAGGGCTAGAGATGTAGCTCAGAGGTTGAGTACCCTTGGGTTCAATCCCTGGTACAGAAAAGAAAAGAAAGCAAGCTACCATGGCTATATTAGACCAAAAATTTCAAGGAAATAAAATTTACTAGGAAAAATATGGGACATTTTATAACAGAATAACATTAGACAAAAACACATAATGACTCTAAAAGTGATAACATAACTTTGAAGTATGTGGAGCATAAATTGGCAGAAGCTAAATAAATAAGTCTACAATCACAGTTGCAGACATTAACCAGCCTGCTCTTAGTGACTCGATGAATAAGTAGAAAAAGTACAACTGAAATAAAAAAAAAAAAAAAAGAAGTTGAACATGAATAACAAGTCACCCCTCCAGGCGCCCTCGCGAAGTCGCTGCTGGGTGCCTGTCAGCAGTGGATGAGAGGAGAGGAAGTGTGTTGTGACGGCATGGGTGAGCATTGCCATGGGCAGGAAGTCTCAGTGTCAGACCAGGCAAGGATGGGAGGGAGACTCTGGTTTGTGCTGAGTGTAGTTAACTGTAGCAAATGGGGGTCAAGAAAAGGCTCATAAATATGAAGTTCAATATGACCACTTGCCACTCCCACCACCTTTTGCATGCCGCATTTGAGGAGCTCCTTGGTAGCAGTTGCCACAGTCCTGCAAAATTAGCACCCACCCCTTTAGGAATGAGAAGCAGATTGCAGCCTGTCCAGCTCTCATGCCTACTAAAGGACAGATCCTTGCTTTAGGCTCCAGTTTCCCTGACCCTGAACCTCTGTCCCTGATGCTACTCTGCCTATCACTGTTGCCCTTAGCTATTGCTCCTGCCAGTTGAGCCCTAAAGGACCAGCTGAACTTTTTGACAAATAGAGACAGAAGAGAAGCTTACTCTTGGCAGGAGGAGTGGGAATGATGTGAACAAAGGCGGCAGAAAATGTGTGGCAGTGTCTGGACTAGAAGTAGGGGCCATGAACCAGATTGGGCAGTAAATGAAACAGGTGTGCTGTCCAGAGCTTGAACCTGGCCTCAGCATGAAGGTAGAGGTGTTCAGAAGTGCCATGGGTCCCCCTCAAGATGTGAGTTGAATTGGACATCTCAAAATTTCTCTTTTGTGAGTGTGGGTATTTATCATTACTTTAGAATATTGAGAAACTTTTGAAATGTTGTGTGGCTTTTTTGAGTTTGAGTCTTCTGAATAGAGTGGCATTTACTTGAAAAATACCGTTCCTCTTTTAAGAAGTACAGTTGATAACTATAAGGGGGTATATTCATAATGACCATGCAGGGGTTGTAGCTCAGTGATAGAGCGCTTGCCTAGCACTTGCCTAGCATGTGTGAGGCACTGGGTTCAATTCTCAGCACCACATATAAATAAATAAAGGCCCATCAACAACTAAAGAAAAAAAGTATTTTAAAAAAAGACTAAGATTCATTAATGCCAGTCTTGTTCTTCTGTTAGGAATTCTTCATCTTCTTTCTTTGTCTTTTTCTTTTTTGCTGTGCTTGAGATTGAACCCAGGGCCCCACTTATGCAAGGCAAGATAAATCCTCAGTCCTGGAAAATCTTTTTTATTAAAAAAAATTGAGGATTATGGAAAATTCATGCTTTTGAACAAAAAGCTCCAGCAACTTTTAAGTGCATTTGTAATTTTGCACATAAACTGCTCTCTTGGTGAGGAGTGAGCAATAGCTTTTACTGTTTGTCTTAAAATTTTACTTGACTTGAAATCATAAAACAAGCTACATATAGAGAAATCTTGTCTATGCCTGTCCTTCTCTATCCTTAACTGTCCACCTACTATTTTTAGTTTCTTATTGTCTCATTTTTCTGTTTTACAACTGTTTGTGTCTTTTATTCCCCTTTTCTATCTTACAAAGTGTGAGAATGCTGTGTGCACCCTGCTGTGCTCCGTCTTTTCTGCTAGAACAATGCACTCTAATCTTCTCCAGATCCTTTGCTGGATCTTCCCCACTCTCTTCATGTTGCACAGAACTCCCTCTTGTGGCTGTGTACCCAGCCAGGCTGGCACTTCTGCACTCCTGAATCATGTCTGATCTTCTGCCTTTGTACACAGTGCTGAGTGGCGCCCCAACAGAGTCATTCCTGCTGGTTTAGGTATTGCTGGTATGTAAAGGCCAAACGCACTTGTGGTTTTGCCCGGTACCATCAGATCCCTCCCTTTGGGGTTGTACCATTCTGCACTTCGTCAGCAGTATACAGAAGTGTTTATTTTCCCTGAGCTCCACCAACAGTCGAGAGGAGTTTAACCAATCTTGAAGCAAGAAATAGCATCCTAATGTAGTATGAATTTGCACTTCTCTTTTTATAAATGAGATTGAGCATTTTTTAAAATGTTTTTAGGTCATTTATACTTCCTATCAGAATTTTAAAGGTTTTCATGTAGTTGAATTCATGGATCTTTTCTTCAGGATTTTGGTATGTACTTTAAAAGGACAGGCAGACCTTTGGGAACATATGAAAGTTCTGTGAGTTTGTACGTAAGAAGTTAAGACCTCAGTTAGAGTAAGAAAATGCATTTTTATTTTCAGAGGTGCTATGACAAATTAATTGTTTTCCATTTCAGACTCTCTTGCATGAAATGATACATGCCTATTTGTTTGTCACGAATAATGATAAAGACCGGGAAGGACATGGTCCAGAGTTTTGTAAACATATGCATCGTATCAACAGCCTGACTGGAGCCAATATAACGGTATACAAAGCTATATACTTTTAGTGGTTTTTTTATTCAATAACTCCTGGGATTTAATTAAAAAGAGAGAACGAGGTAGAAGTAAGTGGTATCTCTGAGGATTTCAGCAGTGGACAGGGGGCCTGCAGTAGCTGATGGGCTTGTATAGGCTCACACAGTAGAGTGACCATGGCCTCTGACCACCTGCTGTAACCATTTAGGCAGTCAGTGAGGCTGCAAGACCTCTTCTCTGAACTCTCACTCATGAGGATCTTGACTTTATTCCTCATCACAGTCTCTTCCCCGAGTCCATCCTGTATTCGGCCACTTCTATGCCCCTTTTGAGTCTCATCTCTGCACAGTTTTGTAGGAGGTAGGGTCAGACACCTGGGTTCAGATCCTGCCTGGCTATCCCATGCTTATCTGTGTGCCTGCCTGATTCTTCTCTGCCTCACATCACTCACGTGCCAGTGGGGGTCATGGCGACACCTTGCTGTTGTATCATGGGGAGGAGAGAGGATCACAAGAAGGCACAGATGAAGAGCATAGGCCTGGCCTGAGCAATGGTAAGGTCAGTGTGTCAGGCCTCCCTGGTCTTTGTTCTGCTTCCTTCCTCTGCATACTGGATGGTTTTTACTCGTCTCTGTGCACATGTGACAAGTGTGTATAGATGGTTTCTGAAACATTAGTTTTTGTAGAGGTGTTTTTGTGGTTTTGGTTTTTTCCAAAACTTTTTTTCTAATGTCAGATTAATCTTTTAGTTCAGAAAGCATTAAATTAACTGCTGTTTCCCATTTTTTTTTCTTTTTTTTTTAAAGAGAGAGTGAGAGAGAGAATTTTTTAATATTTATTTTTTAATTATCGGCGGACACAACATCTTTGTTTGTATGTGGTGCTGAGGATCGAACCCGGGCCGCACGCATGCCAGGCAAGCGCACTACCGCTTGAGCCACATCCCCAGCCCTGCTGTTTCCCATTAAAATAGACTTTTAAAAATATTTTTTGGCTGGGTGTGATAGTACCTGCCTGTAATCCCAGCAGTTCCAGAGGTTGAGGCAGGAGGATCATGAGTTCAAAGCCAGCCTCAGCAAAAGGGAGGCACTAAGCAACTCAGTGAGACCTGTCTCTAAATAAAATACAAATAAGGGCTGGGGATGTGGCTCTGAGTTCCATCCCCTGTACCAAAAAAAAAAAAAAAATGTAGGTGGACAACATATTTATTTATTTTTATGTGGTGCAAAGGATTTAACCCAGTACCTCACATGTGTTAGGCAAGTGCTCTGCCACTGAGCTATAGCCCCAGCCCTAAGATGGACTTTTGAAAAGAAACTAAATATAGGAGCTTGTCTTTTCAAAAATAGAACTTCTCAAAAATCTCTGGGGAAAGGAAAGTTAAAAGAAAAAAGAAAGACTGCTTCTATAGGAATTTCCTTGAAATTACCAGTTGGCTTTCTGAGTGGTGACAGTGCTCTCTGCCCAGGTGTACCACACCTTCCACGATGAGGTAGATGAGTATCGGCGACACTGGTGGCGCTGCAATGGGCCCTGTCAGCACAGACAGCCATATTTTGGCTATGTCAGACGCGCGACCAACAGGGCACCCTCTGCTCATGACTTCTGGTGGGCCGAGCACCAGAAAACCTGTGGAGGCACCTACATCAAGATCAAGGAGCCAGAGAACTACTCAAAAAAAGGCAAAGGCAAGGCAAAGCCAGGAAAGCAGCCAGCGCCAGCCGTGGAGAATGCAGGTACTTTTATGAAACCCCCTCTGCCCCACGCTGCAGCCCACAGGCCTGTACACGATAAGCCAGGGTTGTTTCTCCTGGAGAAGCTTTCAAGTATGCACTGAGGGGAAACTCCCGCTGTCCAAGAAATGGTGGTAGGAAAACATGCTTTGCTCTACATGGAAGTGAGTGAAAGTAGAATAGTGTCCACTGACGATGCTGGAGGGTAGAGTCTTTTTTCCTGTCTTGAGTCAGCACTGAGTTGTTAGGAAACAGAAAGCAAAAAGATTGTCAAAGTTAAGTCCTGATCACACCCCTGTGGTCAGTTGGGTTCTGTCAGGTCACTTCTGACGTGGGTGTGATCCTTGGAGAGGATGGGAAAGGAACCTGATGTGTTGGCTGTACTTCACCCTGAAGACATGCCCTGTTCTGAAAGCTCTTGCTGAAGTTAGGCTCCTTCCCTTGGGAAATTACCTAGGAGGACAAGCTGTGGAAAGGTTTGTGTGAGGGCCGGTGTCTCCTCCTCTGATTGGAAGGAAACATACAAGGTAGCATGCCTTCCCTTCTGGAGCCCAACAGAGAGGAAACCAAGTTCTTTTCAAGGTGAGTGTTCCTCGGTTGTTGTTCTGTAGCATGATGGGGTTCTTTAAAGAAAAGTTTGTTTATCCTCTTTGTTTTCTCGATAGCAGAGCTCTGGATTATTCTTTTCCCATGAGTAGGTAATTATTACTACATGGTACTAAGTTGGAATGAAATATTTCTTTATTTTGAGACTCATCCATTAGTTTGGTGTTTAGTACTGCATTAATGTTGAGAAAAATCTGTGTTTTCTTTACAGATAAGACCAGGAGAGGTGAGGCACAGCCGTTGGTCCCTTTCAGTGGGAAAGGCTATGTTCTTGGAAAGACAAGCAGTTCACCTGTGCCTGAGAAAGCCATTACCTCGCATGCCGTCAATGAGACCAAAGATGTTTTTAATCAAGGCCATTCAGCAAACACCCTAAGGTCTGATTCCAGCATTGAGGTGAAATTTGAACAGAATGGTTTAAGTAAAAAATCATCTCATCTGGTCTCCCCTGTTGTCAGTACCAGTACCAGTCACCAAAGCATCCTGAGCAGCTACTTTCCCAGGGTCTCAGTTGCCAACCAGAAGGCTTTCAGAAGTGGCAGTGGATCTCCAACAGCAAGTGGGACCATTGGCGACATCACTAAACACTCTGTCTCTTCTGGCTCTCAGAGAAGGGTTCCAGCTTCTAAGATGCCCCTGAGAAATTCCTCCAGAGCAAAGACATCAGCATCTGCAGCTGCAGCCCAGGGTGGGGGTGGGTCCCAAGAGAGATCCCCAAGCAAACGGCCCAGGCTGGAAGACAAAACTGTTCTTGACAACTTTTTTATCAAGAAAGAGCAAATACAGAGTGGTGGCAGTGATGTGAAGAGTAGTTCACTCCCCGCAGTTGCAAGTCAGAGTTCCAGCAGCTGCTGTAGTCAGAGCCAGTTGGTCAGCTGTCCAGTTTGTCAGGATGAAGTTCTGGAGTCGCAGATTAATGAGCATTTGGACTGGTGCCTTGAAGGTGATGGCATCGGAGTCAGCTTCTGAGAAGCTTCTGGAAAGGCGATGAGTCTCATTTGTTGCTTGTGACCTCAGGGACCACCGCCAGCCGTTGGGGGATCTGGGTGACACCAGGCCTGTGGTTAGCACAGTGTTCTGCTGTTTTACTCTAGGTGGAGGTCTAGAGCTGGGCTCAGGAGCTCATGCCTGTAGTCCCACTACTCAGAGAGCTGAGGTGGAAGGTAGCTGTGAGCTTATGAGTTTGAGACCAGTCTGGGTAACGTGGAGAGACTACCGTCTCAAAAAAAATGTTTACATCTTAAGGTGCTGGGTTTACTCCTGCCTTACCTACACTGTGGCCCATAGTTTGTTATACCTATGCAGTTTTAGATATTTTTGTTCTTTCTTGAAGGCTTTAAAAGCTATTAATATTAATCTTTATTTATATGTTCTTCTCAAAATACATGTCTCAGGAATGCTGTTGGGTTTTGGTTAAAACTCACTTCCATAGCACCAGATGTGCCAAAACCTGGATGACGTAAAAGTACGGAGTTGAGTCATTGTAGGGCACTCAAGTTTGGGGTTTTTATCTTTTTAAAAACAACAGGATATAAATTTTTGATATTTTAAAGAATCTATCTGTTCCACCTTTACTAAAAGGTAGCAGATTTTTTGGTTAGATAAGGAATATTATAAAATAAATTTATTTTGGAATATTACGAGTAATAGCTTCTAGTTTTATAGGACAGGTTTTATATTGAGTTTAGCTTCTCAGAATTTAGTAAAGGGAGTGGCTAAACTCAGGCTGGGCAGTAGCTGGCCTATTTGGATGCCAGTGTTTAGAACCATCATAACAAAAAGGGTGCCATTGGTGCACTTGGTTTGTTCCTTTTGCAGAGGCTCTCTTCCTGTTCCTGCTGTGGCGCAGACAGCTTCTGTATCAGTTGCATTGTCTCGCAGGGTACCTCTGCTGTCAGCATTCCCTTGGCCTCGGAGGTTCACTTTTCTTGGTTCTGAACTCTGGTGGTGTGATTTGTTCCTGGTCAGGTGCAGGAGTCTTACGGGCCAACCCAAGTAACGTTTACATGGAATTCATCAGTTCACCATTCCCATCACCACCAGAGGCTGCTTCTCGTGGTACCGCCTGCTCCCCGGACAGCACCCACCACCTTCACTGTCCCCAAAGGTCACCACTGTTTCCATCTAAGGTTAGCTCAGCCTGTTTCTGAAATTGATGAAGAAGAGGTGGTGTTGCTGTGTGTAGAGCTCCTCACTGCCCCCATGTGGTGTGCAGGTTTCCATCCACTCCAGCATTAGTAGGATTCTCAGTTTGGAGCCATTGTGAATGTTGCTGCTGAGCACACTCCTGCTCCGCCCAGTGTGCACATTGGGAAGGGCCTGTGGGGTCACGTGGCTCTGGGGAACACTGTTGGGGTGCACTCCTCCAGCAGTGCAGGAAAGCTCTTAACTGGTTTTGGCCTGCCCAAGTGTTCATATGTCTTAAAGCGTGAAGTTAATCACTATTTAATAAATATTTATAAATGGCTGTTGGAGTCTGTGTTGCTGAACACGTGCTGTTGGGCTTTCATCAGTTTAACAGGTTTTATGCAATAAGACACTTTGTGAGCAAAACTGCTCAGTGTTCTGAGGCTGTGAGCTGAAGAATGGAGTTGATGTCTTTAATGAGCTGACAGCCTCCTTGGGGATGCAGACTGGCAGAGTAGTCTTGACATCTTTTGGTAAGTGCTGTGACAGGTTCTGCCCAGTGTGGTGGGAACAGTGAGCATGACGCAGGACTTCGGGGCCTTGTCCTGAAGCAAATAATTCCTAAGTGGAACCTGGGTCAACCTGGAGGTTAAAGGGTGGGAGGGGCCTGCACAGGCATGGAAACAGATTAGCAGGGCTTTCTGGGGACTGCAAACTTTGGGTTGCAGCTGGGATAGGAGGGAGGGGCAAAGTGGCGGGAGAAAGAGCAGATCTAGCTCCAAGTTGCCAGGGCAGCGACTCTGCTTCTCACATCATCCTGTGGTTGTGGTCTTGACCAGGTGGGCTTGGAGAGGCCATGCCTCAGCCAGGGACAGGCTAAGAAGCCTGGGTGGAGGAAGGCAGAGGCAAGAAGGGGTCAGGACAGTGAGGCTCATGTTGGGTCAGTGGCAGGGCCTGGGATGACAGGAGTACCTGCTTGGCTCCTTTAGAATGACGCAGTTGGCCTGAGGTCAAGCCTGCACTCCCAGCTGTGTGAATACTGGAGGAAATGAGCACCCTCAGAGGTGGCTCCCCAGATCTGAGTCCCTCAGAGCTGAGTCACTCTCCGTTTCTCATTTTTCTCTTTCTAAAGCAAACTTGTGGTCTCACTAACCAAGCAAGTGATTCTGGCTCAGCCTCACAGAGGGAAGACAGGGTGTTTTATTTCTACAAAAACTGGGGTGTTTTTAAGTCAGTGTCTCACAATGTTCAGCTACATAACTTCAGAAACGTTGGCCTGTTTTTGTAGACTGTAAATGCACACCCTAACTGAAAATTCTAAGCTGGGTGGGAAAATACAATAACAAAATACAAAAACATCATTCTGTCCTATTGTCCCAAAGCTTTATTTTTTAAAAAAATTTTTTGTTATACATGGGCACAGTATCTTTATTTTGCTTATTTTTATGTGGTGCTGAGGATGGAGCCCAGTGCCTCACATATGCAAGGCAAGCACTCTGTCACTGAGCCACAATCCTAGCCCCCAAAGCTTTATTTTTTTTAAAAGTGCATAGAATTTTTAAAGAAATCAGAATGTTTCAAAGTAAAATCGGTGTACCTTCCTACAAGACACCTGCACCTATGACTCCTGCTGGTGGTGGACGCGGTATGTGAATCTGGTCTTGGTCTCAACATTTTTACCTTTCTGAGCCAACTGTAGTTGTTGAGCATCAGCATAGCCACCAGACAAACTGGAACTCTTCATATAGCAATGACTGTAGAGCCGGAAAGGATAGGACATGGAAATCTGCTTTATCTTCACATCTCTAGAAGCAGATAGTAAAAGTCCTGGGGATAGTAAAAGCTCCCCAGGGGATGAGCATTGTGTGACTAGAGCCCAGCACTGCTGCAGGGCAGAAGCCAGCCCAGTGCTAACCTAGCTAAGATGACCCTCCTACTGAGTCCCTCCTACTGAACACTGGGGTGGTGGTACTCTCCTGGTCATCTGCTTTATCTTCACATCTCTAAAAGCAGATAGTAAAAGTCTTGAGCTCCCCAGGGGGTAAGCATTGTGTGACTAGAGCCCAGCACTGCTGCAGGGCAGAAGCTAGCCCAGTGCTAATATAGCCAAGACAACCCTCCTTCTGAACACAGGGTGGTGGTACTCTCCGCAGGTCACATTTCTGAAAAACCAACAGCAAAGTGAAGCCCAAACCACCTAAGAAATCTGTGAGGTCGGGACAGAAGGAAATGACCAGGGCCTCAAGTCCTGTGAGGGGAGCAGAGGACCCCTTCACAGGCACTTCCTCTCCACACTCACTTTTCACCTGTCACTGAACACTAGCATCACAGTCTTGAAGAAAGCAATGGGGTCCCAATACTGTGAGCCAGAGTGCTCCTGACGAGGTGGGCCTGCATGGTCCATGAGCTGCAGTCCTCTTCCTCTGACCAGGCCTGAGGCTTGGTGCTCTGGCCCACCCACATAGTCCCAAAGAGTCCTGGATGTCAAGTACCTCCTTCACCCTTTCCTCAGAGCAACAGGTGCCTGTTAGGTCCCTAGTGTTAGTGAATGAGGGTCACAAGTTCCAAGGTTATCCCTTTGCACAAAGCATGCTGATGAATGCTAGGTGTATCTCCATACCTTGCTAAGAGTGAAAGTCTAGGTGCACTTAGGAAATGCCAAGAACAAACCACTCCAGATTATAAGCATACCGTGCACACTAACTACATAAAAAATCTGTACTTACAATCAAGCGTGGTTTTTTAGATTCCATTCCAGATAGATTTCCTTTATGTGTATACCTTTAAAACAAGAAATATAAATTTGTGTGCACACATGTACATACATACAAACATAGATAAGTGATTTCATTTATAAAGTAAGATGGCCTTGTGCTGACTTGAGTTGCAGTTTTTACTCCCAGTATTTACACAGACCCCCTGGTATCAGCCCTGCGGATGGCATCCAGCCTTGCCTTGACGGAACCTGCCAGGCTGCCCTGTGCATAGGTCATCCAAGTTTCATGAGTGCAATGGTGCCCCAGGGAGGAGGCTCAGCGCATGACGTGTGTCATTCTATTTTCCAATCCTTCCAATCTATCGTTGGCTGCTTGCTTTTCAGTGTCATTCATTACATTTTCAGTTGGATCTATTCCTCTGGCATCTTGTAGCTTCCTCTTACTTGAGATAATTCTGTCTTCAATTTTTTTGCTGACTTAAATCAACTCTTTGTTTCCTGGCTTCCCAAGAGTTTCTTTTTCTTCTTTTGGTCCTTTTTTTTTTTTTTTTTTTTTTTTTTGAGAGAGAGAGAGAGAGAGAGAGAGAGAGAGAGAGAGAGAGAGATTTTTGAACTTATAATTTCCTATTCTTTTTTTTTTTTTTTTTTTTGAGATGGGGTCTGGCCATGTTGACCAGGCTGGTCTCAAATGATCCTCCTGCCTCAGCCTCCTGAGGTGCTGGGAGTGCAGGCATGAACCACTGCTAGGCTTGAATTTCTCCCTTCAAGAGTTAACTTGAGTTTATCTCAGTGTTCACCAGCCATGAACATCATCTTCTTTTCTTCTTAGTCCTCCTCCTGCTCATTTTGGAAGCCCACTCTTCCTCCACTTGCAGCAATAGCTGCAGTTCTCCACAGGGCTTGGGGTGAGGTCCCCCTCATGGCAGGGCCAGGTGCAGTGCCCAGAGATGGTGCTCTTTGGGTGAGGGAAGAGCTGGAGGTGGAGCCTCTCAGACTATCCCCCTCCCATATGCCATCTTCTGCACAATCTTCTCCAACCTGTGAACTCCAAACCCCTACCTCTCAAGCCCAAGGGGCCAGTACACTCACTTTGGGATCTGACTTACCAGGACTTCTGTCACCTGCAGGGTGTGCCTGATCTGGTGTGTCCCAGATACGGCCACAGCCACTGAGCGGCCCTCCTTGACTATCTCTGCCGGTGTTTTCCTCTGCCTTACAGGTGTTGTGTAGTGCTGGCCTTGTGCATGACAGGAAGCGCTGACATGGAGCCAACTGGGCTGACAGAGGTGGGACATGTGACAACTGGACTGCAGAGGTGGGACAAGACACACTGGGCTGAGAGAACAAGGGAGCTCTTGACAATCAAAACCTATCAACAGGCATGAAACAGCCACTGAAGAACTGGAAAACAGACACCCCCCAGAGAAGATGAGGACAGTGACCAGGGCAGGAACAGCAGGTTTAAACCGGCCAGCTTGTGACCCCACTCTGGAAAGCACGGGAGCAGAGGGGGACAATAATGAAAGACGTCAGGAAACACCCAGCTCGCAGTGCCATGGCTGAGGCGCCCCGTTCCACTAACTGGCTCACAGAAGTAGCAGGTCACACTAGGAACTGGGCTGCTTCAGATCTCAATCCACACAGAGACCACGGCTGCCGCAGTGCCACAGACTTCCAAATGACAGTGACTTCCAAACGAGAATTCTGTCCTGGGCCAAGCTCCAGTTGGGTGTTGTGGCTGACAATGCCCATACCCACGTGTGCTTGCCAGAACCCAGAGACCAGGGCCACTGCAGCGAGAAAGGACACAGAGAGGAGGGGTCAGGGTCCTCACATGGAGTGGAGACAGGGCGCCAGAGGCCAGCTGTGCACCAGGAGGAAGGGCGGCCTCCCAGAGGCACAGGCTGGGAGCCACAGGCACAAGTGAGAGACGTGAGGAAAAAAACGTAAGTCGCAGAAGAAAATAGAACCACACGGTACACTGTCCTTCCGAGCTCCGAGCAGCACACCACCACGGGAACACCAGGAGCTTGACCCCGGGCACAACACTACCAGGTGGGGAGGCTGGGTGGCGGAGGCCACCTGTGTCTGCGGTGCGTCTGGATGGGGCGGGAGTGCTGGCAGGAGGCCTGTGTTCTCTTGGTCCTAGTGGCACCTCAGCAAGCAATGCCTGGTCTTGAGATGCCAGGACAGAGCGAGGATCTCATCCCTTAGCTCCCGAAGGACCACTCAAGAGCTGAAACTTGTTTTCCTCCAAATGTGAGGGTCACTGTTGCTCCTGACCCTTAGAGAACACACAGTCTAGCTACTGAAGCAAACTCCTAAGAGCCCAGCTTCCAGTCCCCATTGTCCACCTCTTACCAGCTGCAATGAGCCAGCATTTCTAGGTCCTGTGCCTACTTTGTTAAGGACATAGGGCTCAGGTATTCTATAGACCAAGGAGGAGCAGAACAGCTCTGGAAGCCACCACCGATCTCTGTGAAGGGAAGACCTCGTACAGTGACTAACACTCGCATCAACCAGTCACGATGACCCATCCACAGCCACCTGGGCTCTCCCGCCCATGGTATCACACCTGTGGGTTCTGCTCATGAAACCAGCTCACACGCACCTTCTGCACCTGT